CCAGTTTATCATGTGTATTAAGTACTAGACCACCAATTTAGGCAGAAATTAGTCACGTTAATACTCTGTCATCTGTTCCAATTTGCAATCAGTACTCACTGGTGCTCCTGATCCCTGGATGTTTCTGACCTTGGGCCCATAAGTCCTGATACTTCTGGCTGAAGGCAGGCCTCCACCCTCCGGACATCCACGGGGAGTCTGGAGCTGCCATCCTGTAGAGGAAGCAGCACATGACACTTAAAGGAAAAGTAATATGTTTTTTAATGCCTTAGTACTAACTACTTCTACTGTACTTCACATTGATTTAAATGAATCTCAGGTTCACACATCAAGTATCATAAAACCAGATTTAGCTATATCGGTGGATTTATTCATTTGTCTATACATTACACCATATTAGTAAACACCAGACTCTCTCCACCATTCTCTACACTTTACCTGTGTTTTATGATGAGATCTTCACTGGCTAGTCTGTGCAAACCTGAGAAAAAAGCATCAACAGAGTTATACAGAACAGCTCTTATTTTGAAATGACTTAACCACAGACTTGGAGTCCTGCGGGTATAACTGAGATTCAGTTTTAACCTGAACCTGTGTGGAGACAGACCTTTAGCCCTGCCATGTCCTGGTATCAGGTGGCCTGTCCTGCTGTGGCGTCTGAAGAGGCAGACAGCTGCAACTATCAAACCGCACCACAAGAGGGCACCAATGCTGCCGATAAACACTGGGTCCTGAAGCAGGGCTAAGACCTGGGACAGACCCCGTCTTTGGCTGTCTGATTCTGGGGGAACATCTATTTGTGGGTCTGAAGAAATGAATAGAAAACAGATGAAATCAGAAATGAAGTCATGGTAACTTCTCTTCTTTACACACTGAAGACACAGACTGAATTTGATCTGTACACTGTCCTGATGCAAAAATCAAAGTGCTCTTTTGCTCACTGATGACAAATCCATGCGGGTCACTCAGCACTCCTACTCCAGCTCCGTTTATGGCTGCTACGGTGATCCAATATCGTTTCCCTGGTTTGAGGGCAGAGATGTCGAGGTTGTGTTGGCCACTATCGACTGTCCAGTTCTGGTACTGGTGCTCCTCTGACTCCACACACCACACCTGGAAGAACAGTCTGCATCCTTAAGAGAGCTAGGATTGTTGATGCTGCTTTTATCAAATGCTTATCAAAGTACTGCATTCATGGTCTAAGGTCGGGATATATATTTTGAGGGATCGGAGAACCTACAGTAATACTACTACCACTACACCTGAGTGTCAGGAACCAGTCTTTACCTGGTAACCCTGTATGAGACCATTGTGGGTTTCATGAGGAGGAGGCTCCCAGCTCAAATGGATGGTGTTATTCTGCTCGTGGCTCACTGTTATGGACACAGTCAGGGGGGAGGCACTTGGCACTGTAAAAAGAGGGTGAAATTTACTATTGTCTTCTACACATGGTTGTAATGTATGCTTAAGTTCAGTGACACACATATAAGTATTAAAAAGAAAAAGAAAAAACACAGATAATCAGTTCTCACCCGTCTCAGGGACTCTGAGGTGCCGGGTGTTGCTCTCCCTCCCGTACAAGTTGCCGCCATAGGGACGAACTTTGAACTCATACTTGTAGCCTCTCTTCAAGGGGCCCACCTGAGTCTGGAAGCTGGGCAGCGACACCTTCTTCGCTGCCCAGTCCGAGCTGGCAGGCAGCAGGGAGCGATAGAGAACCTCGAAGCCATTGAGGTAATGAGGCTGGGCTGGGAGGGACTGGAGCTGGTAGGAGAGAAAACAACATAGATCGTTCACCTGAAATATTTCATGCTTTCTCTGAAACTTTCTGAATTACTTTGCTCATACCTTCCATTGTACTTGAGATATGTTTGACCCAGGGGCCACAATGCTGACATTTTCCAGAGCAACTCGCAGGGCTGACAGCTCTTTGTGGAGGTCTTTCTGTTTAGTGCTGGCAGCCTCTGGAAACACAACTTTAATTTATTTATATCTGAGATGTATTTTTTTATGTAAAAAACAAAACAAAAAACAACCAACATATATATGTGACTCACGAAAATATATATTTTTTGGGGCTTTTATTGCCTTTATGATAGTAACAGTTGAAGATAGACAGGAAAGGGGGACAGAGAGAGAGGATGACACACAGCAAAGGTGTCATCCCGCAGGTCGGATTCGAACCCTGGGCCGCTGCAACAAGGACTCAGC